TATGAGCAAATGTTCAAGGCATGTTCTCATAGAAAAAATGTGACATTCGATGGGTTTCAAACCTGTTGCATTCCGATAGAAATTCAATGTCTACTTGGCTAAGACCAGTGAGATGGAGCTCTCAGGAAAGTATGCATGAGTCAATGTCAAGATGTGATTTCATAGAATAAAAATGTTATCATTGGCAGGTTTGAAACCCACAAAGTCCAAGAGAAACAGATTTTGACTCTGATGACAACTTGACTAAGACCAATGAAGATGAGTGTCTGAGATATCATCTATGAGCAAGTATTCAAGGAATGTTCTAATAGAAAAAATGCAACATTCAACAGGTTTCAGACCTGTTGCATTCCAATGAAAACAGATTTTGATTCTGTTATCACAACCACTTGGCTAAACACAGCTTTGATGAGCTTTTAAGCAAACCGAACATGAGCATGTGTCAAGGTGCATTTTCATAGAAAATGAAACTTATCATTGGCAGGTTTTAAACCCACACAGTGCAGGACAAACAGATTTTGACTCTGATAATCACTTGGCAACTTGATCTTCAGTAGGTTTTGAACCCACACAGACAGATTTAGATTCTGTTGTATCAACTGCTTGGCTAAGACCAGTGAAATTCACTTCCAATGAACTTATTCAGAAGTGAATCCTCAAGGCACATTTTATCTGCATTTTGTCAGTTCTTTCAATAGCATGGTCACTGTTGATTCTTTTATTCTGCTTTGTTTCTCTAAAAAATTACCAGAGACAAATGCAAACTCGGAATAATAAGTACAAGAGCAGTTTAATTCTCTCCAAAGGTCTTGACTTGGTTGAAGAAGAAAAGCAGATTACACATCAAACTTTCAAGCTGTATTACAGTCTGTATTCAATTCATCTGTTCAGCTGAGGGAAAACATTGCGAGTGACAGGGAACTGTAGACTTGCCTTGCAGATTCACTTCTGAATGTTTTCTTTAAAGATGGATTTAACTGGTGTTAGTCAAACAGTTGCTACGACAGAATCCAAATCTGTTTCAAATCTGTTTCAAATCTGTTTCAAATCTGTGTGTGTGTGTGTGTGTGTGTGTGTGTGTGCGCACGGGATCAAAACCTGCTAAAGATGAAATTGCCAGTGATTATCAGAGTCAAAATCTGTTTCTCTTAGAATGTGCAGGTTTGAAACCTGCCAATGATCAAATTCATTTTTTATATATAAAACCACACCTTGATACATGCTCATGGTCAATTTGCAATTTGCTTACAAGCTCATCAGAGTTGTGTTTTAGCCAAGTGGTTGTCCTGAACAGAATCAAAATCTGTTTCTATTGGAGTGCAACAGGTTTGAAACCTGTTGAGTGTCGCATTTTTTCCATAAGAACATGCCTTGAACATCTGCTCATAGACAGTATCTCAGACATAGATCTTCATTAGCCTTGGTCAAGTTATCATCAGAGTCAAAATCTGTTTGTCTTGTACTTTGCATGTTTCAAACCTGCCAATGGTAATATTTTTATTCTATGCAATTACACCCCAACATTTCCTGATGTCAGTACAAGCTCAGCATCCAGTGAATTCATGCACTTAGGTTTGAAACCCATTGAATGTCGCATTTTTTCTATCAGAACATGCCTGTTACGACACACAGTCGTGTGCGACTAGGATGATCTAAACAGCGACAACCACAACAGTGGTACCAAGTGCTGAGAGTCGTCGGCCTTTACAGACAAGCAAAGGTTGCGTACTCGAACATAGCTCGTGGTGGTTAATGAGGGGTTACGCTGAGATGATAGCGGTGTAGGGATTCATTTCTGGCTAGGCTTGGAGAGACTGTCTTTACCTTACCTTATGTTGGCACTTTGTAGCTTACATAATCAAGTTACCTTTTCACCAGTTCTACTATGAGTCTGAGTATTCAGCAAGTTTCTATCATATTTCCTCTTCTCTGAGCCTTGAGCCTGGTCCAGAAACCCTTTAGGGTCGAATAGCAGCTAGGTTCTGCAAGACCCAACATTGTTCAGACTCACCATCTGAATTGTTGTACCTTCAGCGGTTTACAGACAGCGAGAGGCATCACTGAAGGTACGAGTCGATGTCGAGCAGGTAGCTTTAGCGGGACAAGGAGTTCAAGGGTAAACCTAGTAAGATTAAAGTAAGGAACGTCTACTGTTAATCTTCGACCTTATATAAGGCTACTCTTCGTATCTAAGCTCAGCCTAAAGCTGGGTTCTAATCTGCTTATCTACATGAGTCAGAGATAGCGTCCATGAGGCGGGCTTCTATCGTAGATAGGATCCATGAGGCATCCTTCTATCAGTACATGAGGCAGCACGAGGCTTGCCTTCTATCTTGATAACATAAAGAGGTCTTCTAGACCTATTGTTACGCACTCAAATAGATCTGTTAGGCGGAGCCCTAAGAGGGGCGTCGTCTGCTAACATTCGTGACGTAACCGGAAGGATCCGGTATGGCAAGTGAGACTGGGGACGACGAGTCGGCAGTGATCACAGTACGCGCGTGTCACGTGACTTCGTAGACAGATGTCTTGTGAAGTCGCTCAAGATAAGGACTGTCTTGTCCGTACGATGAGGTCGATCGAGGTAGACTTAGTCGCGATGAGCAACTAAGAAAAGATACTAGAGACTGAAGCCAAAGGGGCGTTCAGAGGGAAGTACATTCCAGGGAAGATTGAGTAGATTCAAGTTAGAGAATCTAGTACAGTGTGACCGACTACTTATACTAAGTGGAAAGGGTTAAGGGCAAGGCTACCGCACAGTAGGTAAGGGTAAAGGGGAAGCGAGAATGGTATAGGTGCGCTGGCATCAGAGCCGGATTAGTGGTGGATGGTCGAATGCGGAATGAGACCGAGAAACATTGGAACAGACCAATGGTAAGAATACAACGTGTGGGAATCCGCAGTCAGGGGAAACAGAAAGAGGAAAGCCACATTGGTGGCACGAGTCAGACCGAGTCATAGGTGCGGGACCACATTGGTGGTCAAATCAAAGGAGGAACGTGCGTGCACGTGCATAGAGGCAGGCGATGCGAGGGACGGGAACGGTCCCGAGGATCCGGTCAATGGAAAGGCGGTAAAGGAGGACGAGCCGGTAGATGGTGAGGGCGAGGATGAAGGGAAAATGATAGGGGGGCCACGTGACCGATGTTACTTGTAACACCTATGTCGTCATGTGTCATTATGTGCGGTCCAGACCGCTTATCTAAGCCAGCAGTTGCCGCTTATCATCTATCATCATCTATCGTCATAGAGCTGGTGAGACTCCGGTATCGTCTATAGCTGTGCGGTGGCAGAGGGCTGTCTGCTGGCAGGGGACTCATGCCATGTTACTGTAACAATGCCTTGAATATTTGCTCATAAACAGTATCTCAGACACCAATCTTAATTGGTCTTAGTCAAGTTGTCATCAGAGTCAAAATCTGTCTCTCTTGGACTGTGCAGGTTTGAAACCTGTTAATGTTGCAACAGAATCAAAATCTGTTTCTTTAAAACCTGCTCACTATTTTTTTGCAGTGTATAGATTCTCAGAGGTCCAAGTGCAAGCAAATACAAATGAGGACAGTTAGACATTTTGGAGTATTCTGTCAGAAATTTCTAATTTTGGTTGGCACACCTCAATTTACTGGCAGCACTACAACTTGCTTGGGAAGGGAACCCAACAGATAAATGTGCCTTAAGGATTCACTTCTGAATGAAGTTATTGAAAGTGCATCCAACTGGTCTTAGCCAAGCAGCTAATACAACAGAATCTAAATCTGTCTGTGTGGGTTCAAAACCTGCTAAAGATGAATTTGCCAAGTGATCATTAGAGTTAAAATCTGTTTCCCTTGGACTGCGCAGGTTTGAAACATGCCAGTGATAAAATTCATTTTCTATGAAAACACACCTTGAAATTTGCTCATGGTTGGTTTGCTTGCAAGCTGATCACAGTTCTATTGAGCTAAGTGGCTGTCCTAACAGAATCAAAATCTGTTTCCATCAGAGTGCAACAAGTTTGAAACTTGTTGAATGTTGCATTTTTTCTCTAAGAATATGTGTCTTGAATATTTGCTCATGGACAGCATCTCAGACATTGATCTTCATTGGTCTTGGTCAAGTTGTCACCAGATTTAAAATCTGTTTCTCTTCAACTGTGCAGGTTTGAAACCTGCCAATAACAATGTTTTTATTCTATGAAATTGTCATATCCCACGTTCCGGACCCAGACCAATCACGCCCTCATATCTGAACATCTCCAGACATCTGAACATCTCCGGACATCCGGACATCCGGATCCGATCCACGTCTATCTTCTGTGCCTTATCCCTTTGTACGTTCCTTCTCCAGTTAGACTATACTCATTTTCCATACCTCATTTCATTTCCGCCTTTATTTTCCTATGTTCTCATCTCCGTCTTCATTTACTATTTTCCGATAGACTAGTGTTTGACTTTTCTATACGCTCTGTCCACAGCCTCGCATAGCTTCAGACTGCGCTGACTGATTCTCCATTAAGTCCTCAGTAGTATATAAACCCTGTAGAATCTTTGTACTTCCTCAGTTCAAATATTATCTTAGACTCTGCTCATTCCCTCCTCCATCCGACTTGAGTTTCTCCTCTTGTCGCCCTCCGCTAGTCTTAGGATCGACTCCTATAGACTTCTCACCTCCGCCTCTACCTCTGGTAGTCCTCCGCTGTTTCTTTTCTAGTTCAGACATTGTCCGGATTAGTCTTACCCCTTGTCCCTGAACATCCGCTGGAATTCCCACACATCGGACATCGGACTCTGGACTCATCCGACAACCACCGGACATTGTCCAACAGCCCTCGGAAGTTAGGGGCACATACTCGGGTAAGGGGCGCAGTGCATGAGCTGAAGCCAAGCCCTTCGGATCCGATTCTTGAGCACGTTCTTAACAGTGTATTCGAACTCACACCCCATGAAAGGCTCCGACCAAACAAGTGAGCAAACATGTGGACTTAATGCGCTGTTGTCGAGGGTGGTCTTGAACTGGCATCCGATATCATAGCCACCACCCAGATCTGCGCCAAAGGCATCAAGGAGCTTGGCGACGACAGAGAGTGGGTACTTAGCACTAGAATAAAAACGGTCAGTACAAGTTGAAAGAAATGAACTCTGACTTACAGCTCACCACTCTGGATCATATCAGCGATCAGAAGACAGAAACTGTGATGACATATGGCAAGGAAAATGCCCATTTCATCATATACCCCCCATGATCTCTTCATCTTCTCATCATCCATATTCTTCCATCGCCCAGTGCAGGGATTCTTGTCATCAAGTTCTACCTGTAGATACTTGTCAATATATCATTTCTGAAAATGAAAACATAGACTTACTGACTTCCTGTCGTTTTGTGTTAAATTTGCCCACATGTTGACATACTTGCGAGAAAGATACCGATCGTTGCACACCCACTGTGTAGTAGCAAGTTCAATTGATGGCCCCGAATAGTCTCTGTCAGCGCCTATCAGTCGTTGTGAGACTCTCTTGAGTGAGTCATTGCCATCCATGGCATAGAGCAGACAGAAAGTCATTGCAGGCTCATTTTGCAACTCATAGGTGCAGCAGTGGCAAGCATTCCATAAACACCAGTCAGGAGAATCATGATGAATCACTACATTGACAAGGGAGTCCATGCGAGTGCACAATTGCAGATAGAGGTCGAATGTGATCAAAAATTGACGTGATAAGTACCTATAAAAAACAGTCTTGAGTAGAAAGTTAGCACTAGTTGCAAGTATAATGTCAAACACCTACTCCATGTAAGTCACAAATAGATTTCACATACACTTGGATAGAAAAGTGAGGATTGCATAATTGAGCAACACGGTAAAACTCCAGAGCATCTATAGAGATGGCAACAGATGGTGATATGGGGAAACAAGGAATAATGCTATGGTGGACGAGAGCAGATGCAACAAAGTGGTCAGTTGATTCAATAGTTACTGAAACCTTCTCAGCATCTAAATTATACATTAGCCAATGGAAGTAGTCCGGAAATGAAACTTACAAAAAATATCAACCACTTGGACATCCCAAACACCTGAGTTAGGGTCTGACTGTGATTGAGCATTCCTATGGACCTCCATGAAGTCCTTAAACCTGTGCTGGGCACAGCCATAGCTCCATTTGAGGTAGGCATCAGTAAGTGCAAATAATTGTTGATCAAATGCATTGACATGCTGCTGAATGTGGTCACTGCGAGTCTGATTATCCATACAAGGTCTGTGTTTGCTTGCAGACTTTCTATCAATTTAAGGTTAGTGATTATGATAGCCATCAAATAGATGCAGACTTACAGTGTCCACAAGTCTTTGTATATCTCTCTTGCGAGATCCTGAAACTCATCTCCTGCATGGCTGATGTCAATTGAGTGAGTGCCGTCTAGTACATTCTTGAAGTCTGTGTTGTCGTTGTCATAGTCCATACTGTCAAAAGTGTTGTGCTGATGAGCAAGTGCTTCGAGCCAGCGACACTCTTCAGGAGACATTGCTGAAGAACTGTAAGTCTTTGTTACAATATAACAAAAGTGAAACTAAGTTACCTTGAAGTTGAGCACACTGCTCTCCATGGGCCTTGACAGCGTGAGATGCGAGGGCTTTTGGCCCATAGAGTTCATTAACATGGATGTGAAGACCCTGGTGGTTGTGATTGGCTTTGATTTGCCTGACCTTTTGAGTGGTAAGTCTTGTTTGATTTCGAGATTTTGTCAACATTGGCAACATTGGCTGACATACTAATCAACAAAGCACAGAATAATTTACGTGACCACTGACCTTGGCATTTCAGGCTGAACTTCAAGTTAAGATCACTCAAGAGTCAAGAGATGTCACAGATACCAACTACCTCCACAAATTCTTTGGCCACCTCAGGTAGATCTTGTAGGTTGGAAGAACTCTTGCAGGCGATGACATTGACAGGTGCGTGATGGCTTTATTATACATGAGCTCAATTCTAAAGCTGACTTTATATGATTCAGATATTCCCTTCAATACTATCACATACAGCAAGCAGTGCACGACTAGGACCAACGAGGAACAGATCACATTCTCTAACCCTCATCCTCATGCATCCATGCCTGTACTAATATCAGGTGCTTCACCTTCTGATTCTGGCATCCCCATGACAAATGCCCCTGTGATCCATGTTCCTTCTTATGTTCCGTGTATCCCTCACCCTAGCAAGCTGCATGTGCCGAATCCCAGTGTAAAGAGTTGATTCTGTGTAGGCGCTGTAGGACTTGGAGTCCTTGTGGCCTCATAGAGGTCTATTTTCTGATGCATGTTGAATGCTAATCATTACCCAAATCATTCCCTATCATATCCGACTCAATATGCACCAAACCCAAAAACATCGGACATCGGACATCATAATTATACCTTCAGACATTGTTTCCCGCGCTGGGATTATTGACCTCACATCACTCACTGACCCTCAAAACTATTCCCAGACCGCAGACCCCTGGGTCGAACGCACTTGTCCCACAAGTATAGCAGATAGGCAGTGCAAGACCACAACATAAAGATATCAGTTTGGAGCCATCTTTGTATAGCCCCACTCTGTGTTGTATACCTACAGCGCTACAAAGTGTTACCTTCAGAACTCAATGTGCGAGTGTAATGCTCGTCCCAAAGAGACTGCTTATAGAAATACTCCTTGATATAAATGCAAGGCATATCTAGTTAAGATCATAGTAAAAAGAACAGAAAGGTCACCCAAGTGTGATCAATGTTCTGAAGATGTGTCTGAAGTACTGAAGTACTTGTCCGATGAGGTCCAAAGGTGGTCTGACGTCAAGAAACGAAGGTCTGAGGTTGCGTGAAGTGTCCAAAGAGCTTCCGATGAACAGCAAAGGTTCCAAGGTAGAAGTACAGTGTGTATGTCAAAGTATAAGACTTGCAAAGTGCAACTAAGCAAAGTCTATTGGGAAAACTAAGAGATAGCAAGATGCGAAATGGCAGCAGTCAGGCCAAACAATCATTCCGAATGAACAAAGATCAATTGCGCAAAAGTATGACTATCCAAAGTGACTCTACTAACTATGACTCATAGTAGGGAAAGTGAAGTGAAGTGTGAGTAGCTAGTGAGGCAGATTATATCCTACAGCATGAAAGTCCGGAAACTGTGTAGGCGAAAACAGTAGCGAGATAAGCTATCTGAAATGTAATAAGACTCAAGGCGAGCTGCTACAGAGATATGCATGTAATAACGCACGAGGTGTGCTGCTATACATATTAACCAATGGTTTCAACGGGCCAACAACATATGTGCCCCTAAGACATAATCAATAACAGATGAACAAGTGAAAGACGCACCAGCGAAGTCAAACAGACACGGATGGGACATGATACAGAGTATCGGAAGTGTATACAGGCCTCAGAAGGGGATGGATGACCTTCGAACAACTCGGATGAACACACAGAACTCTCGGAAGGTAAAAGGAGTGTTGAGGAGTATAATGTGAGGTACCTATGAGATTGGCAGGATATGTGCCCAATGCCGATCCAAGTGCTACACTGGCGAGAACCCTGATGCTTATTGGGACTTATATTTTATTTCATTCGTTTTACTAACTACTCGTCTAACTACTTCTGGGTTGATGTTGGTGAACATGTGCATGGCATCAGTGGCACCATCCAAGTCAGGCAAGAGACTTGGGCGGATGCTTTGCACCTGTATATGAGGAAATATAATGGAGGCATGGTGGAAGCACGCCCTCATGTAGGCAGTTGTTTCTGGCTGTCTAGTGTCCCTCAGACTGGGCCACCTATAGTCTGTGCCCCATCTGACCCAGTATCGCCTTTGTTATCTGCAACTTCAAGTGAGGATAGTATATGGACGCATGTTGAGGATTTGTCAGACCACATGAGCCAGGTCACGCAATACTAGACTAGATAGTTTTCATGTATACACTCTATTTGAAAGTAGAATGAAATTTCATATATGATCATGATCTAAAGAAGTTTGGACTTTCTAAGTTTTAAGTTCTAGACACTTCATTTAGCCCCCGCTTTGGTCCTGTTGCCGATCCCCATCTAACAGCAGAAAATAGTGCTCACTCTGCACAAGTATTCTTCTTGAATAAATATATTGACAAGGAATTTTACTATGCTATCTCGAACTCATAGTAGTTTTGAACTAGAATTTTGAATACTACTGGTAGATATCTAATAATGTGTGTCGCTGTGCGTCACTGTGTAACACTGCACATCACAATCAGCCTATACAGTGCCAGGACACGCTGGGCAGCACTGTACAGCACTGTGGAGCACTACCCATCATGATGTAGCACATGGTTTTTCAGCTGACTAAAATGACATTGGTTGGGCTCTCAACTGGGCTGTGGCACATTGACAGCCTCATCCCCTCTTGATGCCTCTGACTACTATTATGACACTTCCAGTCATGTATTCTAAGCTCAATATGAGTTCTGGATCCAAGGGCTGGCTCCCAACATCACCTTTTAATACTACCAGTACCTTCATTCCCCCTGCAAAACAATGTTTACAACAACAACTTCAGAAACCAGCAAAACCTACTATCACATCCCCAATGGAAAGACAACTTCCAGAAAAACAAGTACTTGCAGACCTCAAAGCAGCAATACAAGCAAGACTCGACCTTACAGATGATAATCAAGCCAGCCCTAGCTTAGGTTAGTATTTCTCAGATCGCTTATCTGATTCCAAACTTCTTCTTGACCATCCATCATCTTGATCATCTTACAGAGCACTGTGCAATCATTCTTGAAGCTCTACAAAATCCTCAATCAAATACTATTGTAGGTTGCTTTGTCATTGTCATTGAGCGATACCTGACACCCTTCAAGGTCATCATTGGTATCATACCTGCAGAGTACGCAGTGGTATTAGCATTTACATCTGAAGAGAGAGATTTTGAAGTTCGAGCAAAGTATGCACTATCATCAGCTGTCTGATACTTACACTACTGATCTTTTTTTTTAAATAGATTCACCTATTTTTAGGACACCCAAGAACTTCAGATCATGCCTCCCCTCCCCATCCATGAACAACCAGCTGCCCACCTCTCTAAGGCCATCAACAAATACACAGATAACCTTCCATATGACAAGCTCTTGATCGACGTTACCATGCACCTCAACTACCGCATTCAAAACAAAGACATGACAAACATTCCAGATTTATACCTCGCTGTCACAATACAACCACCAGAGGACGACAGTGTGGATGACATCAAAATTCTGAAGCCCATCTCCAAATGGGTTGGAGAGTGCGGGCTTTCGTCAGACTATAACTTCATGGTATGGAAACTGAGCGGCACATGCAATGGCCATCGCGACATTGATCTTGCTCTGATCATGGAGTTCAAAGAGCGGGCTACATGGCAACAGCCCAAGGAGATGAGCATCACTGCTCAAACTCTTTGTATGAGTCCCACTTTGGATTACAAAGAGTTCATCCCTACACGCATCAAGAAGAGTCTGAAGTTCGGTCCGGTCATCATTCACTCTCATGTGTGGATTGACATTAGCGAGGTTCAATACACTGTGTTCAGACATGGTGTGGACGGCCACTTTGATTTTAACAGCAAGAATCCAGACACGTTTGCAGAGGGGGTACATTTACATTATCATTTTTTTTCTAATCTTACACTCTGCGGACTCTTTACCCCATGGTACAGATGTCTGACATCGAACATATATTGAGGGACGGCACCAACACATTGAAAGGGTACATTATTTCCTTGATGGAGGGGATGAATTTAGAGGCATCTGAAATCCAGCTTGTGCATGAATCCAATCCTGTTGTAGGACTTGGGGTCCTTGTAGCCTCATAGAGGCCATTTTTGCAGCGTCCCTTAGGTCCTCGCATAGCGCGCGTTATAGCTAACATGGCACGCGCCATTTCCATTATCGGCCAACGGCCACGACTCACGCGCACGCTTCGGCTCACATCCGCTTCCCTTCAGTTCCGTCGCGCATCCTTCCCTTGTCCTATCCATGTCCTCTGCCGGTCCATTGGTGCGTACTTATCTCAATCTGCATTAGACTAACATTATTTCCGATGCTATCTCATTTATATTCTCATTACTTGTGTTATGGACCCTGTTTACATACTACCGCTACCTACTTGGCTCCGACATTGGTCTCGTCTGATCCGAGCACCTCCTCATCTCACCTCACAATGATTTCATCCACTGGGCTCTTGCCTGATGCACACCCCGAGCCCTTGGCAAAGAAGGCCAAGACCCAATCTGCTGAGGAGTCCAAGTCGAAGTCAAAGAAGACGAAGACGAACAGAAAGGGGAAGGGGAAGTCAGGGCTCTAAGCTGGAGTGCTATTCATCATCGAAGGTCAGTTACCTATTCGAAGTCAATTCTCTCCAATAATCTCATTATGACTTGGGCTGCCGCTTGTTGCTCTATCAGTACTATCACCGTCATTCTTGCTTACATGCTGTCATGTTTTCAATGCACTCTGTCTGTGTACTTGTAGTCTTAGATTCTCTTGCATCAGACTATAGTAGTATCACATAGGTACTACTTATACTTGTATCGTGCTCTGTTGAATGTCACATCACGGTTGACTTGGAGTTGTCAGTCACGGGTGCCTGTGACAACACTTCTCGAATTTGTACAACTACATTTAATGTCTTCCAGCATCCAACCTGCAACATCCGCATCTGTTAAGGGCAGCGAGGCTCCTCCAAGCCCTCTAATCTGCTCATGTGAGGCTCAGACCCTTGTAAGTGCAAATCATGGAGAGATTTCGGTGAGCATTTTGCCACATTCTCAGACTTCTGGGTTATCCAGCACACCCAGACCCAGGAAAAACACTACCACTACAATTTCTGGGTCCATCTCTTGCAAAAAAAACCTTACCTACACATGGGGTTTTTAAGCTCCAAGAACATTCAAATTGGAACTCCCAGGGCTATGGGTGCACTGCAAACCTGCTGATCCCCTGCATTACTGCATCACTTGACTAGCACGCCAGGCAACTATAGGTTCAGCGTGAAAAATCCTGCATCACCGAAATTCCCAATAATGAGGGAGTCAGACTGCAAAGACCACGAAGACAGCCTGAGTGTGAGTTCATAGGTACTGACATGTGCTATCTGAATAATGATGTGTTTTTTTAGGAATCTACAGACTCCAGCGACAAACTTAAAGCACAGCTTGTCTTAAATGCAACCCGAGCACAGTGAGATGTTTGCCTCGCAGAGAAGACACTGGCAGATTGCATTCTCAAGGAGAATGCTGCGCTTGGGAACCTGTACAAGTTTGAGGCTACAGAAGCTGAGAGGAAGCTGGAAGATGCTGATATCGACATCAGCTTTGTACACCACTCTGTCCAGAAAAGTGGCATCATGTTGTATGAGGACTCTAAGCCTCGAAAACGCCATTGTGAATCTGCTAGTCAGATTGATGATAATTTACCCAGGCCAGAAGGAGATTTGACTCAGACATTAGGTACCAATACTCATTTTTTTATTTGACTACTTCTACTCACGCATTTTTACTCCTATTTGCCAGCAGGATCTGCAAGTGTGACTCCATCCATGACATTTGAATCTGAGGCAGCGACATTGGACTCGGAGAGTGTGTACTAGTAGTAGTAGTAATAATAATAAGTGTACATGATCACAATGCTATTACTCGCATGTTCACTTTCAGATGGTTCTTATTATGAACTACCAGTACTATGATAAGAGATGTCTGTACCCTATGTTTGCTGTAGTATAAACTTTAATTTTTTTCAGACTTCCTAGTACCAGAGTAGCTGACCGGCGCGCTGTGGCGCACTGTGTAGTACTACCTCGATCATGTATCACTGTACCATCTGTAAATACACTACAAGATGCTGTAAGTCACTATAAATATATCACTACACATCACTATGGCTGCCTGTGCTGCTGTAAGATGCTGTAAGATGCTGTAAGATGCTGTAAGATGCTGTAATCGGCTATGGCAGCTGTGATAAATTCAGGGTTTTGCTGATGCAGAGAATTCGCATGTGATCCCATTGGAATGGACGACGGCCTGGTGGCTGAGTAGCCTAAGCTTGAAGCTGTTGGAGCAGGGGGTTGATGGCATCCATCGATGATGGTGCGATGGATAATCTTAGGTAGCATGTACCAATATTGATAGTATCGTGTAATTAAAACTCAGCTATCAGTGGCATCTACTATGCCAACATTACAACATCCTTCAATTTCTTACTGTGGGTTACCATACAAGCTCTAAGCAATTGGAGAAAAATTGTGTGCTGTAGACAGAAATTATGAACTAACAGGCAGTCACAAAGTCACTGTAGGAGATAGTATGATATATTTCTGTTCATTGCAACTGCTAACCTGGTACACATCGGATTGACCACTCTTCTAATGCCCCCCTAATCAGACTACAGATGGGGTAAACTGTCATCATCCCATATTTCAAAGCTCAGTTCGCCAACTGTTCACAAGGTCCGAATGAATGTGAGACCGTGCCAAAATACTGCAAGGGAAGACCGCAGGATGACTGAAGCAACAAAACCGTCAGTGACGAGAGAGAAGAATGGTATGAAGAAGTTAAGCACCGAGTCACTCCCGGGATAAACGTGGGAGTAAAGCTGATCACTTTGCCCTGGTCATCTTTGGCAGAAGAAATATCCAACGTGGCCAACATAGTGACAATGGCGGACCACGCAGAGGCATTAGCAGTATGCCGTCCTGATTCAAGTCTGTCTGTCAGTGAATCTTATAGGATTAAGATAATTTGACCTGGACATATACGCCGGCCAAAGCCAAAAGTGTATTGTGTGGGGTCATCAGCTACCAACACGCCATCACTATCGATGAACCTCTCTGGTATAAAACGAGATGCGTCAGGATAACGCTTTTCATCTCGCGTCATGCCCCTGCAATCAAGTCAGTGTCACGAAAGCTGGGGGCATCATATCATACCATGTGTTGTACATGACGATTGTGCCTGATGTACAATGTCAGTATTACAAATGATCATTGTATGGATAAGACAAAAACAGTGTTGCAGACCTTTCGGAATGAAATAGCCATTGTATACGTCATCACTTGAGGTAGCATGTGCTACGCCTGTAAATTTTTCAGTACAGGCCAAATCACTTAGCAAAGAAGATACCAAGGGGTGTAACGGGGTGCCATCGGAAAGTCTCCCGTACAACCGCCTCGATGTAGGGTAGTGATGCTCTGTCCTCGAATGTTGGCAGTCGATCTCTTCCAACCACTGAGTCGATTTCCGCTTGTGCACGTTTCTGAACGTCTGGATATAATACCATGGCCAACACAAAAATCATCAAAAAAGCTGAAGTCTGTAACGAGGATAAGGAGCGGACGACGTGATAGAGTTACCCACTTGCCGTCTCATACGAAGCTATGTGATATTAGTTTATGTCAAGAGTACAACATTGCTTGTGAAGAGCTCACGTACCCATAATAGCAGTTGTGGCTGCTTTCTTTAAAGCATTCTCGAATTCAGGTTTGGGTGCCCCCTCTTGCGTCTCCATCCGTCGCAAATTTTCTGCGACCATCGAAGATCGAGCAAGGAATGAGCTGCCATCCTTTGCAAAATATCAATTTCTGGAACTAAGAGAACAAATAAATACTCACCATGTGCTGTTGCACATATCGAAATGGCACGTCGGCCATTTCATTCATGTTCTTGGTCGAGACTCGAGCACTACGTTTGATCGAGGATCCCCAGCACCAGTCAGGTAACTTAAGTACTACATCCCACAAAAGTGCATGTCATGTTAGCGCTTTCTCATTTCGGGTGAGTTGAGCTCACAGAAGGGAAAGGTCTTGAGCATCAGTGCTCTCTCTGGGGTCAACACAGCCGAGCCCGGAATTAGTGCCCTTACGACAATCTGCACCAGAGGATCATCACGAGCACCGATATCATAGTCATATACAGCTGACATCACAACAGATAACGAGAATCTGTGAACAGGTAAATAATCGTTCAATTTTTAAAAATCATTTGCTGACGTTGCGAAGTGGTCATAATAATGTTGAGGGTCGTCGACTAGGTTGACGACCATCTCACGAGCCCGCCTGATTTGCATTGGTCGAAATTTGACGGCAGACTCGGGACGGAAAGTTTGGTGGAAGAGTCGCCGGCAGCGACGCCATTCATCGTGATAACCTAAGAATGCAAAGTTGATCGACAGGCCATATCTGCAAGAACCTCAGTCTGAGTGGATAGAAGGATAGTGAAAGAACGCACGGCTCGAGTGTGGCTAGGTATGGTCGATCGGAGTAGATCCGAGAACGCTTTTCCAATAAGGCTTCTGCAATGTGCTGAGAATTGACCACGACCATTTCCTCATCTAGGCTTCGCACGAAGACCAAGTCCCCTAATATAATGATTCGTCACACATATGCCCTATACAGTCTGTTCACGTACCATACGCAGCACCCCATTTGGTGTAAGTCAGCCAAGGCTCCTGAGCGTCAACAGATAAGACGTTCCCTAACAGTGGGAGCGGCACTGGGCCAGGAGGAAGAGGAAGATTGTTCTGTTGCTTCTTCTTGATGAGCCGCCCAAGTGCCATGACGGCAAAAAAAGAAAGAGAAATGCTAGCAAGGATAGCAAGGCGACCATCAACTGCAGGCGCCATGATTGGAGCAGTGAGTTAATAAACCGCATATGATGCAATCGTTCTTATAACCACGGGGAAGTAGGAAATGGCCGTTGATTATGCAAGTCAGTGATATCTCCAATCGCCATATATACATTGCTTCTCGTCAAACCATGTCGACTTCTGCTGGAGCGGCAGATAGTCTGGCCAGATGGAGTAAGAAAGAATATGACTATAGAAGGAGAAGACATACGCAGGATTTAAATAGATGTGATACCACTGACAGGCAAGCAGCATACACCGCGACCGGAGCGTCGTGTTTGGACGTGTCAAGCACCTCGCCCATTCCAGATTTTGTTTGCACCCTCATGGTGTCCGCCCGTCGCAAATTGTGTTATTGTGTGAATAGACCACCACACACGCATACATCTCCAAGGCCGTATCTCCACTCTTCACACTCAGCATTCCGGAAGGAGTCGTATTATGCACTGTCTGCCATGCAGGTACATACTAACTCCTTGTACCCGATCAACCCGTGCTCCTTACCGGTCGGGGATGACTCGGACATGATAGGTGTTCGATGACTACAACAGATTCTTGAATAGTATGTACGCGAGCGAAGCCCACAAAAATAGTTGAGGGGATTATATCTTGCAGGAACTGCTGGTGACTCGTGAGTTTTAGACTACAGGTCTATCTCTTGAAACAGTCACAAAAACTGGTCAAAAATGTAATCTTCTTGTCGCCATTGAAAAATTGTTGGCGATACTTGGTAGCGATCCTTGAGCTCGGCTCCACTGTGTAGCGTCACTTAAGTTAGGCTGTGAAACGGAGATCAAGAACTTCCTTGAAACGTTACATACATATACATTCATTACATAATTAATTGTTCTTCGCTCGTCGATATTTATACCCAGTCGCTTTTTTCCTCAGATCTCCGTTCACCGGTCCCCGGCACCCTTCGCGACCCACATCAAGAGTACTAGAAGCACCTAGCTAAGCTTTCTCAACACTCATACACTAGACCTCGCCTCTCACCTTTTGGATCACTTTTCAGACACGTAAAGAGCCCACTTCTGGAGTTTCGTTGATCCAAGGTTGTTCAACCTAGATATCCTGATGAAGCTTTGAATCACGCTTTTCAGGGCTTTCGAGTAATAATGGTCTGAAGGTGAACCAACCGCGATTTGAGCTACCTTTTTGTAAGACAAGCTCACCAATTATTAATTGTTCACAGTCCTCTTCTGCCACATACTAGCTACATCACGATTCACATACAAGAAAATACAGACATGTCTTCTCTCATCATGCACATATTACACTCCAGCCTGCAACACATCCATAAGTCCGGAGTGAAAATGAGAACGTGCTGAAATACTGCAAGGAAAGATCATAAGATGGCTAGAGCAATGAAACCGTGAGTGACACCAGGATAGAACAACATCATGGGGAAGCCAAGTACCGAACCACTCCCACCATGAACTTGGCAGTGAAATCGATCGTTTTGCCTTGGTCATCTTTAGCGGAAGAAATGTCTACTGTGGCCAGCATGGTAGCAATGGCAGACCACAAAGAAGTATCAGCAGCATATCGACCTGATTGAAACGTGTATAAGTTCACATGCTCTAAGCTATCAAGACCTACTGAACCCACCTGGGCATATACGCCGACCTAGACCGAAAATATATTCTGCAGGGTCATCATCCGTCAACAAACCATTGACGTCAATGAACCTGTCTGGTATAAAATGAGATGCTTGGGGGTACCGCTTTTCATCCCGTGAAATGCCCCTGACAATAATGTCAGTATCACGAAAGGTGGGGAGAATCTATATCACCATGTGTTGCACACGACGGTCGCTCCTGATGCACGAGAGTCACGTTACAAATCATGCACTCATCAAACAAACGGCAGACCTTTTGGGATGAAGTAACCATCATATAAATCCGCGCTCGATGTAGCATGTGGCACTCCTACACGAGGATCTTTAGCAAAGGTGAGACCACTCAGTAAAGGGAATTACCTAGGGGTACAGCGGGTGCCCACCGAAAAGTCTCCCGCAGAATAGCATCAATGTAGGGTAGTGATGCTCTATCCTCAAACATAGGCAACCGATCTCTTCCAATCACCGAGTCGATCTCTGCTTGTGCACGTTTCTGAACATCTGGATATAAGACCATAGCAAGAGTAAAAGCCATCAAAGTTGAAGTCATCTGTGAAGAGGTCAAGGATCAGACAAACGGTTTGAACACCCACTTACTGTCTCATATGAGCCTGCATGCAGCGGGTTTGTCAAGGGCATAATGTAACCTGTAAACGAATGTTACTGACCCACAATAGCGGTAGTAGCTGCCTTCTTCAAAGAAGTCTCAAACATCGGTTTGGATGCCTCATCTTGCATCTCCATCCGTCGCAAATTTTCTCCAACCATTGAAGATTGAGAGCTATCAGCCTTCGCAAGCATTAAATCAATGTCTGGAACAAAGAGAAAATAAATACCTACCATATGCTCCCGTGCATGTTGAAACGGCACGTTGACCATTTCATTGACGTGCTTACTCGAAGCTTGAGCACTACGCTTGATTGAGGATCCCCAGCACCAATCAGGTACATTCAATACTGCATGCCACAAAAGTGGATGGCATGTTAACGCTTCTTCATCGAAGAGGGTGGAGCTCACAGAAGGGAAAGGCTTTTAGCATGATTGCTCTCTCCGGAGTCAGCATAGCTAAGCCCGTCATTGCATTTATCACGATCTCCACCAGAGGATCATTACGAGTGCTGGTATCGTAGCCATATACAGTTGACATTGCAACAGAGGACGAGAACCTGTGAACCTGTGAATAAGTAATCGCCCAATAGGTGCCAATACATTTGCTGACGTTGCGAAGTGGGAATGGTAGTGTTGAGGGTCACTAACTAAGTTGGCGACCATATCACGAGCCCGCCTAATCTGCATTTGGCGAAACCTCACTACAGATTTAGGACGGAAAGTTTGGTGAAAGAGTCGTCGGCACAGGCGCCATTCGTCATTATACCCTATGAATGCAAAACTGACCAACCAGCCATAACTGCATGCACCTCAGACTGCTCAAATAGAGGGATAATGGAAGGACGCACGGTTTGAGTGTGGCTAAGTATGGCCTGTCGGAGTAAATCCGAGAACGATTGTCTAGCAAGGCTTGTGCGATATGTTGGGAATTGATCACAACCACTTCCTGGTCTAGAATCTGCACGAAGATCAAATCTCCTGATGGAGTGGTTTGCAACACATATGCCCCATACCATCTGTCTACATACCATAGACAGCGCGCCATTCAGTATAAGTCAACCAAGGTTTCTTAGTGTCAATAGATAAAACGTTCCCTAACAGTGGGAACGGCATTGGGCCAGGAGGAAGAGAAGGGATATTCTGTCGCTTCTTGATGAACCACCTCAGTGCCTTGACGGCGACAAAGGAAAGAGAGATGCCGGCAAGGATAGCAAGATGACTATCAACCATAGGGCCCATGATTTGAGCAGTGGGTGAGCAGACCATATAATCCAATGAATCGGATTCTTATAAGTGCAAGCAGGAACAAAAAAAAGTCACTTGCTTCTCACTCTGATCTAGCGGATGTCTTTGACTGATCACGGAAGAAGACATACACAAGATGGGAAAAGGACACACGATCAGAGACGTGGCATGCACAAGTATGATGATCGATGATCTCCGTTCCCAATTTCCGAGGTCCCAGGTGGCTGCCCCGCGTTCGATCATCGATCGCGTCACGCTTCATTCGATGGGCCCCATTTACCAACTACAATTATGATTGAGCTGTCTTAGAGATCGGGAAAGTTGAGCACTGCATGTGTATATAGTGGCACTGAGAGTCCCCACATCCCGAAATACAGCGCTAACTCACCATCAGCGTACCAGACAGATTGAATGAAAGAACTTAGCTGTACTACTGATCGACAGAGCGCGGACGGTCGATTATTTCCTACACAAGCCATCTTCCGTCGCCATTCTACGATTGTAATCTTGTCAGCTAGAAATGCAACGAAGATCTTGGTAAGAGAAGGCCTGACATGGATCCGCATAGTAGTACAAACAACTCATGCCATACGATAATGATGTTTGGCAATCAATATCTCAGTACTGAGGAAGAGAGCCTGAGAATCTTTCGATAAGGCTCGAATATTCCCCGATATCAGTCGTATTATACGCGCTGTCTCCAGGTTCTGATTTAGAGTCTGGCTGCAGTGCGCGCATTAGCTGATGCAAGCTTTCAAGCCCCGCATGATTTTGCCGAGCTGCCGCCGTTCTGCCACCGGTCGAAACGCCGCTGACTTGTCGAAAAACCAGAACTATCTGGCAGACTCGAGTTCCCGAACTCCACGAATCACTCTCAGACTTTCTGTAAGTATATGAAGAGCTTCTTTATCTTTTTACCCGTTATAAAACTCGACATCTTAAAGTGAACATACAATGTCGAGCCAAGCTCAAGGATCACCACCGAGCACCGCCAGGCTTTTTCGATAGCGGCAAGACGTGTCACATTACCAGTTCTTGTGACTATCTCAAAAGATAGGCCCGTAGACTCACCAGCTGCCAGACAAACCCTCTCATTCAAGGGCTTTGCTCGCATACATAATCAAGATTCGCTATAGCCACCGAATGCCAACCATGTCTTCTCTGACCAGCAAGGAGCAAGAGCCGATCTAGTGCAAAATGTCATGCACCTGACTGGGGGATGGTGCATAATACGACTCCCTCCGGAATGTGGGATGTAAAAAGCGGAGACAGCGGTGGAGATGTCTGTGTGGGTGGTGATCTATTTACCCAATAACACAAAATTTGCGATGGGCACAAACCATGAGGATGCAGTAAAAATCTGGAGTGCAAAGATGGCCAAGCGCGACGCTCCAATGCGTATGCCGCTCACTTGATCTCACGCCCTTTCATATATTGTGTATGTATTTTCCTCTGATCATATCCTTCCTTACCCCATCCGGCCAGATCATCAGCTGCCCTGCCGCCCTGCGTATATATAGCACGGAAACGCATCGCTGAGCTGCATAATCGACGACGCTTTACTAATTCCCCGTGGTTACAGGGACGCTTGCATTATATACAGTTTGCTAACCCACTGCTCAATCATGGCCCCTACAGTTGATGGTCACCTTGCTATCCTCGCTGGCATTTCTCTTTCCTTTGTTGCCGTCACGGCACTCAAGCGGCTCATCAAGAAGCGACAGAATAACCTTCCTCTTCCTCCTGGCCCAGCGCCGCTCCCATTGCTAGGGAACGTCTTATCTGTTGACACTCGGGAGCCTTGGTTGACTTACACTGAATGGGGTGCTACGTATGGTACGTGAACAGATTGTATATGGCATATGTACTGCATATCGTTATTTCAGGGGATCTGGTCTTCATGCGATTTCTAGACCAGGAAATGGTCGTGGTCAATTCTCAGCGCATTGCAGAAGCCTTATTGGAAAAGCGTTCTCGGATTTACTCCGATCGACCATACCTAGCCACAATCGAGCCGTGCGTTCTTCCGATATTATTCTATTCAACTAGTCTGAGGTTCTTGCAGGTATGGATTGTCGATAAGCTTTACATTCATGGGTTATGGCGATGAATGGCGTCTCTGCCGACGACTGTTCCACCAAACTTTCCGTCCCGAGTCCGCAGTGAAATTTCGGCCAATGCAGATCAGGCGGGCTCGTGAGATGGTCGTCAACCTAGTCGATGACCCTCAACATTATCATGACCACTTCGCAACGTAAGCAAATGATTTTTTTTTACAAATTGAACGCTTATTTGATTATTCACAGATTCTCGTTAACTGTTGTGATGTCAGCTGCATATGACTACGATATCGAGGCTCGTGATGATCCTATGGTGAAGATTGTGGTAGAGGCACTGAATCTGAGCTCGGCCGTGTTGACCCCGGAGGCAGCGTTGATGCTGAAAACCTTCCCCTTCTGTGAGCTCAACCTACTTGGATGAGAAAGCGTTAACATGACAGGCACCTTCGTGGAATGTAGTACTCAAGTTACCTGACTGGTGCTGGGGATCCTCGATCAAGCGTAGTGCTCGAGATTCGACAGAGCGCATCAATAAAATGGTCAACGTGCCGTTTCGATATACGCAACGGCACATGGTGGGTATTGGTTTTTCTCTTGGTTCCAGACATTGATTCGACCTTCACAAAGGCCGACAGTTCGTTCCTCGCTCAATCTTCAATGGTTGCAGAAAATTTGCGACGGATGGAAACGCAAGAGGAGGTATTCAAACCTGTATTTGAGAATGCCTTGAAGAAAGCAGCTGCTACTGGTCTTGGGGGTAAGTAAGCTTTTTTACAAGTAACATTGCCCTCTCAACATACACCAATATCACACAGCTTCATATGAGACGGTAAGTGAGTAACTCCATCACGTCGTCCGCTCCTTATCCTCGTTACAGACTTCAGCACTTTTGATGGTTTTTATTTTGGCGATGGTATTATATCCAGACGTTCAGAGACGCGCACAAGCGGAAATCGACTCAGTGGTTGGAAGAGATCGGCTGCCAACATTCGAGGACAGTGCATCACTACCCTACATCGATGCAATTGTGCGAGAGACTTTCCGATGGCAGCCTATTGTACCACTTGGTATTCTTCTCCGCCAAGTGATCTTGCCTGTGTTGAAGATGATCTCATAGGTATACCACATACTGCCTTGGATGATGACGTGTACGATGGCTACTTCATTCCAAAAGGTGCGCTGTTTTTGTCCCGGATCAACACATTGATCATCTATAATATCGTACAACAGGCACAATCATCACATACAACACATGGTCTGCTATGTTGCTCCCAACTTTCGTGTCACTGACTTGATTGTAGGGGCATTACACGAGATGAAAAGCGGTACCCAAACGCATCTCATTTTATACCAGAGAGGTTCACCGACGTTAATGGTGCGTTGACAGCTGATGACCCCGCACAATACGTCTTCGGCTTTGGTCGGCGTATATGTCCAGGTTCGTCGAGTTATTTTAATCTTATCAAAGATTCTCTCACAGATAAACTTCAGGGCGGTATACTGCTGTTGCTTCTGTGTGGTCTGCCATTGTGACCATGTTGGCCACATTGGATATATCTTCTGCTAAAGATGACCAGGGCAAAGCGACCAGCTTTACTCCCATATTCATCCCAGGAGTGGTTCGGTACTTGACCTCCTCGTGTCATTCTATCGTATCGTTACTAATAGTTTGTTGGTTTAGCTGTCCTGCAATCTTTCCTTGCAATATCTCGGCACGATCTCACATTCATCCAGACCTTGTGCAGGGTTGGCGAACTGCTGAGTTTTGAAAGAATGGATGACAGGTTTCCCTATCGGTGGTCTGATTGGAACGCTCGAGGAGTAATCAATCAAGTATGTATTTCTAGTGTATAACAGGTTAGCAGTCGCGATGAACAGAAATAGACTTCAGTCACCCTGCATGTCTAGTTGCTGTGTCGAGGGTCCTGCGATGTTTCGGTGACCGTGTGGCAGAATATGCTGCACTGCGTCATCTGCATTTCATATGTCACGCCCACGACGTGCCCCCAGTTCCCAATTGAATGACTGCCAGCAACAACCATATCATCCTCAGGTACATACCTCGTGTAACAACAGCCTCGTTCGTAAGTACTTCTGAAAATGGGAGATGGACTGATGCACATGTCCTGCTTAGGCTAGGCTCATCACACAGTTCAGGAGCAACTCCTCTCTTACTGACGCTGTTGATGTTTGATCGCCGCCACTGATAATCATTTGATGTAGATGCATGGTGAATGAAGCTAAGTCCAATAAGGATCAAGTCATTGGTAACTGCTCAGAAATCTTGTCAGACACAGCTATTCGCCGGAAACCTGAACCGAAGTGCATTTGCATCCGACCCAGGTGATCAGAATTCTGACATTTCTAGTGTGGTATATGGCGTACGATGTCGACCTAAATGTAAATCGCACAAAAATATAGCCTGCATGTCCTGAATAGTGAGCGCTGAATGACAATGCAATGATTAGCTGGAGGTACGGGTTCGTACACTTGACCACTCAGCGACAGCGCTGTGATATGAAGATTCGTTGTTTTACTCTTTCTCCTGGCTGGTTTGTTCCACCGCGTCGACCGTCCCCATCTCTGGAGCCTGAGTAATGGTCGATGCTGAGCTGCCATCCTCAGGCACTTCCTTTGTTTCATTGTTCACAATACCTCCATTCCCCACGAGACTCCAAACAATTTTCTCCCTTCCCATTGCCTCCTCCTCGGCCTCCGCCCGTAACGTCTCTTCCCTCCCGTCCCTCGACAGCCGGCGCAATACCTCAATACTTGTCGACGCCGGTCGGAAGAGCCTGCGATTGAACGACGGCACGCCATTCTCATCGGCTTTAGGTCCTTCCTCCTCTACCAAACCATTCTCCTCGACCGTTACGACAGGGCTCTCGGCACCTGCCACCAAGTCCTGTAGCCTGCTTAGTGTTATTTCCTCACCATCGCCTGAAGAGGCAGCAGTCTTCCGTCTTCCAAAATCCAGCGCATTCCACCATACCTCCATCTCCTCCGGTCCGCTGATATTTGCTGGGAAATTCCACGCACGGAACTGCCTATCTTTCGCAGATGCGAGGTTGGCCCGAATTCTGGAGGTTTCTAGCGAGCTATGCGAAACGGTCCAATGGAGAATCCCTGTAACACCGAAACATTAACACGCATGATAACGAGACTGGAAGAAAGATGTGACGACGCACAGTCATCGTCAGGCGTGACACCAATCGCTTTTGAGCCCCACACAGGCTGGCCAGTGACAAAGTTCTGCACCTCTACGTCGATCTGAACGATTGGGGGCTCCTCTGTCTTCACTCGGTCTCCATCTTCCTCGCAATTTTTCCCTTGCTCCACAACCTTCGTTTCGTCCTCTACCTCCTTCAACTCTGCTACGTTGTTTCCCTTCCCTTCTTTCTCAGCATCCCACTCGACAGGCTCCACCCATATATTCATTTTCGACGAGCGCTCCCGTGTCTCGAAGGTGCATTTCACGCTCTAACCAGGACCACACAGGTCAATAAAAAGTTGGAGAAGACAAAGAAGTGGACTCACTCTCTCCCCAAACACTCCAACAATCTCATCCATCACTACTTCCAGCAGCTTCACACACTTCTCAAATACGCGCGTGCCTCTGGTAGGTGCACTATCGCTATTGACAACACCAGCAGGTTTCACATCTTGTCCAAACAAGCGTGCATCCATCTCCTCAAGCGAAATGTACTGGAACCCGAAAACGCGGGCCGTGTTATGGTAAGCAACAAATACGCCATCCATGTTGCCGATACGAGCTTGGAAGCTGGTATGGGATGGTGTCAGGTCAAGACGAGAGAAAGCAGAAAGGGTGGAGCGCAAACCCACCTGTACTTCAAAAATGCACTTCGAATCAAATCATAATATTCTTTCTCGAAGCTCTCTAGTGGTCCGTGAAGCGTGCGAATGAGGTAACCTGAGTTCTCCTACATTCAACGAAATCCGTTAGCCAAAGTCCCAGTTCAGAGTATGGATGCGAAAACATCGAGCCATTGATATGTAAATGATGTGCTCCGATAGAATTACAATAATGGATGGCAATCAGACCCAAACCAAAAAAATGCGCACCTCGAAATTCAGCAAATCCAGTCGGATCGGCACCGCAGCACGGGTCTTGACATCAAAAACGCCTGTTCCTGGTAAGCGCGGGTCGACACAATCTAGTTGGGAACGCATCAAAAAGCGGTCACTCTGATTCCATCATATCAGTCAACAAGTTGCCCATCGTTAACCACGCCCATACAACACGGACATTGTCAGAAACTCACGCGCGAAAAAGTGTAAGAAAAAAACGCACCTTCGCATACCGATATGCCTCCCTCCTTTTATCCTCCTCACCTTCCGCAAGGGCGGGCGAGGAGCGCAGGAAAGTCTTGAACTCAGGTTCCGGAACTGTCAAGAATTTTTCGAGGAGAGTGCCCTGTAATGCGAACGCATGCATTAGTTACGTGATACGTGAATCAAGATTCATAATGCGCATTTCACAGATGAAAAGTGAGAAAGAAGAAACGAAGATAAAATCAAATGCACTTGCGCGACGCACCATCCAGGTCAATACATTCTTCTGGCTGTCATCCTCACCATCTTTGTTGGAGTCGATCGCCCATACACCGTCTTTGTATCGTAACACGATTGATACGGGCATGCGCTGGCCTGGGGTAAAGTTCGTTGGCTGTGGATAAGATATGTCAGCAAGTATTGCAAAATGTGTATAAGTAGAACGGGAGGTATATAGACGCATCCAGGAACGTGCAGTCAGGTGTAATGATCAAGAAGCGAGTGTATACCGCACGTGAAGGCATAAGAGCATACGCCACATGACAAGAGTTCGATATTCAGCACGTTGAACCGCACTGCGCAACACACGGATTTAGAAGAGAATGATGAAATTCATGCCCCAAAAATTGGCCTCAGGAACTATAGATAATCACCCACCTCATGCGCAAAAGCACCGCTCAAAACACTCGTATCTACTTCCTTTCCACCAGAGATGAGGAAGTAAATGTGGCTGAGCAGACCGGTGAGTGAGGATGTGGAGCCAACGTATGGTCGAGAGTGTATTTTGGCGAGGGTATGAAGGTCCTATGGAGTGAGTGTCCTAAGATTCTGTAGACGGAAAAAGCAAGGATAAAACGTACATCATCCTGAGAACTCCGTATGAACCCAGTGACGCGCTCGAACGCGAAATCTGTGACTTTGGGTATGCTCTCAAGCCAAGGCGTGAAATTATATACACGTGAGCGTGGATCTTGGAGCCAATGAACGCCAGGGCTACGAAATAGAGTTAAAATGACATTCACAATCCACAAGGCAGAAAGACGCACTTAAATAACACCCTATCAAGCCCATGCGCAAGTCGCGCAATAGGCTTGTGTTCTGAGGGTGGGTCGATATCTGCCGATCCATGTATCAGAACCACATTCAAAACCTTGCGGATGTTGAATAACACGAACCTTCCAGTACGTTATTGATAGAGCTCGGTCCGCTTGATGAAGGAGCACTCAAATCTCGCGCGTCATCGAAAAGACCCTCTACGCGACGGGTATAAGGTAAGGGATGGCGTACGTGCGGCGGTTGCCCACGTCCCGTGGACTTCATCTTACTTGGTCGTCCATCTCCACTGACAGACCCCTGCAATCCAAGATTCTCATTCTCCCCCGGTCGAAGCACTTCACATGATAGACCAAAACTGAATGAGAAGCAGAACTACAATGATTTCATGGAAAACGCACCGTCCTCGCCCCACCCCGTCGTCCAACCATCCTTCGCCACATGATTAGTTTCGCCGGAACCTTCAAACAGTAGCTTCAGTACTCCGGCACGCTTCGCGTTGGACCCTGCAAGAGAAGCACGCGCTGATTCTACAGCAGGTCGCGCACTAGCACTGCCAGACTTCTTTTTTTTTGAATGCTTTTCCTTTTTTCTTCTCTTCGAAATGCCTGCCGCCGGAATGACATGATGAGGGTTCTGAATGCACGAATTGCTGCGCGAAGAGTCACGCTGGCTACGCAAAGAGCGCGAGAGTTTCCCAACAGTGTATTCTTGTCCTTGTCCATGCCCACCCTGTTGTCCCTGCTCATCATTCACTATCTCTCTGCTTCGGCTATTATCCTCTCCCAAGGCCACGGTTTGACTCTGGCCCTGGCTCGGGCTTTGTTTTGAGTTCGTGTCCGAGTTGGCATTTGAAACGCCCGCAGAAGCGCCAAATGGTCGTCTTCTGCAAGTGAGTGCACTGATAGCAATGGAGCGTGCATTGTGGAGACGGTGCATCCGAAAGTCGTAGTTCAAAGCTTCAGCTTTTCGAGTTGAACGAAAAGCTTTTTGATGGGCGCTTATTTACATAAAATCAAATTGCTCATACGTCATACATCTTCAAATAGTCAAAATCATTTTCTATTGACTAGCTGGTGTTACCAGCGCCATTGCGCATGCACCAGTGAAATTTATCCAAACGCCAGAAGTAACCACACCGACCAGGTCAGCAACGAACTGCCCATCATATTCTGCATCGAGTCGGATCGACAACTTAATTGCTAATGCAGTGAAAGCAGAAACACGACTCGCCATCCAGTTATGCCACTCCTTGATCAACTACAATGACTAGCCTATCGATGTTCTTGTGGCAACGCTGTTGCGATGAGCTGCATGCCAAAACTGTAAGGACAACGACGAAGAGCAAACGCATAATTTGTGCGAGGTGATATGAGCTTTGCACTGGGGAAATTGAACTAATATCACTGAGCTAAGGGGTACGCTAAACACAGCTTGCCTTCATGTCGTGAAAATAGTTCTATCAGTTTGACAGTTTGGATGCGCCTAGTGCATGTGGATGGCAGAACTTCATGGGAAGGATGTCAGAAGACCCTTGGAAGTTTAAATATTGGCTTGGCAGATTGGTTGCGCCATAACAGTAAGGTTGCGTCCTACAAGTGTGCCTGGTTGACGACGGAATGCATGCTCATTGGCTTTCTCCCGTGTATTTAGGACATCACAGCACCCAGCTAGATGAGATATGCTGTTGAACATTATGCACTGATGCCCACCCTACGGCGCTCCCAAGCGGGAAGCGTTCAAATTCATCTGCTACGACTCACTAGGTGGATATCACTCAGCGTCCGACGGATACCCGTCAATAGCTATAGTTCTTTGATATATTGGTGCTTCGAATATTCGCGTTATTCTGGGGATAAGTATGTAAATCCGGCAGCAATGAGCGAGAGCAGGGTATTACGACCACCTTGAGAATTTACTAGGGCTAGAAAGAGTAATGTTTGTTGTTCTACATTATCCTTGAAGTCGCTGCTGAAATCTTGTGCTGGATAAAAGTCCCCCAATAAACTTCGTTGGTATGTCTAGCCGTTGCGATATTGAGCTAGTTACAAGCATTGCTAGCTCAACACTGCAACGTTGTGGATATTTTCATTGACTACATGTCATCTCAATTCCTGTTAAACATTCAGCATTAGTGTGTTTCCACCGATTTTCATTGACATCATCATCCACAGCGAATACCTTACAAACAATTCTCTACATTCAAATCTCCCCAGAGCACACCGACTCCAGCCATTCAACATCACTCCTAACCTTGGTCAGGTTCTCGCACCCATCTGAAGTGATCAATATATCGTCCTCAATGCGCACGCCGCCCATTCCGCGGTACTCCTTCAACAAGTCGTGGTTCACATACTCCGACTCCTCTACAGCTTTGAGTAGATGTTCATGGAAGTAGATCCCCGGCTCAACGGTCTATCGGAGTAAGCAGGCGAATAATCCACACAAGGGATTCGAACTTACCACAACCATGCCTTCTGCAAGCGGCAACCGGAGCCGCAGGTACGTGTAAAAACTGGGGTGGCCGACTTTATCTTGTGGAATGGTCGTGTTGTTGGTTGGTTTGCTTGCACTTGGGACATCGTGTACATCCATCCCGAGCGAATGCCCGACTCCATGAGGGAAAAAGGCCGAGCTAATTCCAGAGCGCAGAATCTCGTCTTTGGGGCCTTTGAAGAGTCCGATGTTGAGGAACCCTTCCACGAGAATCTGATGACAGAGCAGCTGGATGGTATCCCAGTGGACACCAGGTCTGAGCTTTTTCATCGATTTCTATGCAGAGTGTCACATGACAGTGCAAAGGATGCATGCGAAACCTACCTGCTGCATTTCCAACACAAGAGAGTATATTTGCTTCCCTTTCTCAGTAAACTTTCCACCGTTGCCAACAGGCATCGTGCGTGTAACTTGAAGATAGAAGTTCAGATCTGTCTGGCACTTAGTCGCCCCAACTTACTGTCCGCAGAATAGCAATCCCATTCACATCCTGCGTCGATAAGGAGTAGCTGAGGATCTAACTGCTTTTCGGGTGCAGGACCGTGTGCCAAGGCACCGTGGTTCAAATGATCCTGTGGCTTTACAGGTCCCCAGGTAAACTCTCGGTCATTACAGCAGTAGTGTAATGTAGCGGCTCTCCTGGAGGCAGCAACAATAGGGAGATATGCCTGATGAACGGCCCTGGTATCATTGGTGAGTTATCGGGCATCAATATTTGATGCGTTCGTACCCTTCACGTCGGCATGACGCAACAAAGATTGCCTCCGCCTCCGCCTCTTTCTCAATCAGCCACTCCCCGGGAAGAAGTGGACGATCAATGCCTGCACCTTCTCCCTGAGCAATCTTACCCTGTACTGCGTTGCCCAAAACGCGCATAACGGTCTCATGCGCCCTGGAGCTGATATCATTTGCGCGTCGGAGCATTGTGATCTCATTCTCATCCTTGACCAATCGTGTTTTGTGCAAGGAAGAGAGTAAGTACGCATCCGTTGCGGTGTGGGTCTCTGATGTAACAATAGTCACCATGTACTCCTCGGGCAAGGTGGGAAATTGAGGCGAGTTGCGTGGCAGGGTATGGAAGACAGCTTCGGGATGTGACTGGAGGAGTAATGTGATTGCACCTTGTAGCTCTGAGCTATACGAAATATCGGTTACATCGAACAACTGCTTCGCTTCCTTGATCGTGGGTGGAGGAACACTCCACATAAGGTCGGCGGCCTGTACTTCCGGGATGGACAGCCTGACGCTCAGCCTTGTAGAAGAACTTGTCTGTTCAGGCTGATACAGAGCAAGAAGGAATGATCCAGGCACAGAGCATCCTGTGAGGTAGTAAAAATTGGACTCTTGGCGAAATGGTAGCTCGCGATCTGTGTCATTTCGGAAGGGTGTGTTTCCTCCTGCAAGAAGAATGACTTGGGGCTAATCGCGTTGATCAATTCTAACGTTGGTCTGCGGGATATCATATCGAGCTACCTTCTCCTTCAGCTGCGATGGGAGCACATTCATAAGTTGTTCGAACGTCCTCTGCACGTGCGACCTCGCTGCGTTCAAATAAGTCAGTCTCCCTTCGTCGATAAGTCCATATTGCAAGCACTAACCGAAGTAAGTCGACCCGGACATGATATTGAATGAAGTGATGAAGTGAATGAGCTGTGATTCTTGTAAATGACTGAGAGATTGCAATAGCAGATCCGTGCCGGGTGTTACCCAAGTTGTCCATTATGGACCGCCGGGCCGGTCACTTGATTTGGAACTGCTTCGTTAACATCGTAGCAAGGCATGTCAGTCCTAAATTTTTTGGCTGAATTGTACCTAAATCTCCAATCTCCAATATGAAGTAGTGACGAGTAAGCCCTACTACCTAGCTAGTGTACGTGACATATCTCCTGTTGTATGCTTTCGAAACCTGATTAGCAACGTCCCCAATCTTCCGCATCGTTCAACTAGTTATTGAAATCTGAGATCTTCACTACGATGAACAGTCGTAGAAAAAAAAAACTACTGACCTATCACACTGGCTATGGAAAGTGCATGCAATGTCGTAGTAGTGTCAATGTGCAGTGAACAATATTCATGACGAGGATGTTTGAAGGATGTAGAGTCTGGACAGCCTGATCACTTCGCAAGTGTAGAAATCAGGCTCCATTCGAACAGTATCCTGATTGACCTATTTGACGAAAGCAAGATGGAGGAAGTGTGCAAAGCCTCCATGCAGTCATGTTCTCATGTCCATCAGGACATGAGACTTTCTGCAGCATATTACATACAGCATGCTAGTTGCGCTTGACGTTCGCCAGATAATGTCATCCGTGAAATTTTATTGCGAACACGATCGAAGTTCCCTTGTGCCAGGTGATATTAACAGCAAACGGGACTTGGACAGAGTTGAAAACTCACATGTACATCGCTCTGGTATATCGCGACAAGCTTTATATACCCATATATGCAATATTCTCGTCCGGAAGCCTATGTGGTATATTTACGTCTGATGAGGGCCAGCTTGAGGCCAGCAACGCTGAACTGAAATGAATTCGTCAAATCATATTATTGAAATTTGCACTACCAGCCAAATACCTTAAGTTGGCAGCCATGAACCGTTCAGTTCGAACTTTAGACCTACCATGCAACTTGACTAGTGGGGGTTTCCGGCTTGGGTAACCAATCCAAGACGATAAAAGTCATTCAAGCAATTTGATTCCGAGTCAGGTCCGCAGAAATGGCCTGGGCCACGGCCCACGGGAGCTTTACTATAATTAATATATAATTCCCACGCACTCTGTAGTCCTGCAGCGTCGTCATTAATAGTATCACTAGCACTGTAACTTCAAGGACTCGGCAGTCGAGCACCGGGCAGTCCACCATGACCTTTATATCCTCGATACTCTCCTGGTTCAGTAGGTAAGCCAACCTTTTCTTGAAGTGGACAAGATCTTACATATTGAATCCCGCAGCATATTCTTCTCCAAAGCCGCTGAAATATCTGTGGTTGGGCTGCAGGTGCGTGGATCCGTATTCCAAGTTCAGGACATGGTACTGAAATACATTCACGAAGTCTTCTGGAAAGACTTCGTTTGTGAATGTCATCGGGTCGGGGCAGGTGCGACTGTTTCATTCACGGCTTTTCCTTCGCCCAAGCGGCTCACCCTCACTTAGTGGTCAGAAGACGTCGTTCCAACTATCGCCTTCAACTATCGCAAGGTACGCAAGGGCGCTGTGACCCTAAAGATATGGGATGTCGCAGGACAGCCCAAGTTTCGCTCAATGTGGGAGCGCTATTGCAACGGAGTCGATGCTCTAGTGTACGTCGTCCGTTTCTTTGCGTCTGATAGCATGTTTTACTTGCAGAATGCTCTTTCGCTACAGATTTGTAGTCGACTCAGCTGATGTAGGCTTCACTGTGTAATTGGCAGGTCTTAGTTCTAACGCCGATGGCTGCTCACAGCAAGAGAAGTTTGACACGGCATGCTTCGAATTGCACCAACTATTGGCACAGCCTAATCTAACAGGTGTCCCTCTTTTGGTGGTGAGTTTACTACCTCGAGGCATCTATAGGATTGCTTACATTGAGGTAGCTTGGAAACAAGAATGACATTCCCTCGCATGCATCTGTCAAGGATCTTATACGCGACCTGTGAGTACAGTGTCTTTAGTACTGCATGCCCACTCATCTTGAGGGAAGTCAACTGGACAAGATACAAGACCGCCCAGTCTCAGTACGTCTCTCGGAATTATTGTGAGCTTTCAACCCACTAATGAGATATCGTTTCAGTGTTACTCGGTGAGCCTTCTCATACTGGATACCACGTGCGCTAATTCTCCGAATCAGTGTTCGATGAAAAGCCAACATAATTTGTGCGTTCCACTTTTCTATCATGAACTCATTTGAACCTTGAATTCTTGACTAATTATACTGTAGGGACATAGTCCTCCGCTGGCTCTCAGATCGTAGTCATTAGGCTTAGCACCTGTAAAGTGTTGTGCCGACTCACCGCATGATTGATTGGACGTAGTCAACATCACCCATTTTCAGGCATCTAATAGGATTGAAGCACATTGTGCGATACTCGCATTATTTAATGTAGACATACTGTCATGAGACCTAGTACGACATGGGGAAGAAGCACATCAGACTGTAATTCTTTGAACGGAATGAATTTGTGACACCTGGCGTAGTCCGACATCTGCACCGCATTGCTTAACTTGGTATATTATGGGATCACCAATTGCGCATTGCACATTTTTAAAATACATAGAATATACCTCCGGGTGCTACCCTAGCGTGATGACTCCAAGTACTCAGTTTCAATTGGCTTCAATTTTTGTGGAGTCTGTCCGTAAGGTACACAATGCAAAGTGCAATTACAAGACACATGATCGCATGAACGTGCTGTTGAAGGGGACCCTCCGAATGGTAATTGGTTTCTCAGAGGAGGAGTGGTAGTATCGAACGACGGACATGCGGACATGTAAAATATACTGACATTGGACAGCGGCACATCGGCACAAACATAGAATTAGGTTTAGAACAACGTTACCTGCGGGAAGTCGACTGGTTATCCATGATCACGCCATTAACGGTTTAGTACGAAGTACTACACTTCGACTGGTACTGATATTGAGTAGGGTAGTATGTACAATGTGTAGCTGCAAGCTAGGGAAATAAGAAAAACTTCGGGATGCAGTGGAAAGAATGTGAAGGCCGCACCAATGCTAGCAGTACCGGTGACTAACGAGGGAGGGGATGTCGACTGCGTGCGCAATAAGATCTAGCGTTGAATCTTGGTGTGGACGTGCTGGCTGGTCTTGATGCGCTGTTAAAAAAACTGGCGACGATGTCGGTGGCATAACTATCCTGCAGGTCCCATTATGGACAGGATGCAAATAGATCATCGGCGGCGTTCATGGGCACTAGGGTTGGAACAGGATGTTAGAGGATGAGAACGCGAGCTCGACGAGTAGGACAACGAAGACGATAATATCATAATACATAAGAAAAGATTCATGTCGGGTCCAACCATCATTATGTAAACAACATCCTTCGTAACTACATTGGGGCCGAATCGCAAATCTAAATTAGTGCCTGCCAGCTTCTTCGAAACGTTCCCTGCGACTCGTGACCACCCATTACAAGAGCTATGCTCTGATCCTTGCATTCAAGTTAGATGCTTCCAATCCTTGCAAGATCTGCTGTCTCACGCCGCCACTTGTGCAACTTAGGGTCGACTCTGTTTGGGAGAAATTTTATCGCAGTGGGAGAGTTCATCCATCGCAACATTGACACATGTTGCCTGCAGACGCAATCTCGCTACTTCTTAACTCCAATGGATCGCGCAAACTACACTTAACTTCCACCAAAGTAATAAAAACGCGCAACGAAGATGTCATTCTGTCACCTGTGTCATCAACGAGACCAGTTTTGGTCTCTCCACTTGCCTAGGTCACTCATTTAGCATTGATGGAACAATGGCATGTCTACTGTCAGGAGTCCCACCCGATATCTTTCAAGCTCTTGGATATCAGTCCTCCCATTCTGTCCTCCACTACTGGCACTCTCGAACTTCTAACAAGGTTGCATGCAGAATTTTCAGGCTTGCTTCCCAGTTTAGTTGTGCCTTTGTCTTGCACACGGCTTGGGGCGGGAGTCCCTTGTCCCCCCCTCGACATACACCTGATCTCCTTTATGGTCAATCCGATAAGACTATTTGTAAACTCCGCATAACCTGGGGAAGGCCCGTCTTCGCATCACCTAAGCTTCACTCCGTTTCATTTCCTCCAGTTCACTTGCCCACACTAGAACCTTTTTACGTCGGACAAAGCCCTCCTCCCGCTAACGTGGGAGTTGAACACCACGTACAGGGTGTGGTAAGCAGTTCTGCGTGCAGTTATAAAGTCCCCTTTGTGCGTCTGCCCACGCACCGCTCTAACCATGTTTCCTTCAGTTGATCGTCGCCTTGCTATCCTCGCCATCTTACCTGCTTCTGTTGTTATCATCACATCCCTCAAGAGGTTCATTAGGAACCGACAGAACAAACTCCCCCCCGGCCCCGTGCCGCTCCCACTGTTAGGAAACTTCTTGTCTCTCGACGCCAAGGAGCCATGGTTGACTTATACAGAATGGGCTGCTGCTTATGGTATGTGGCCAGATAGTACTACGGTGCATATGTGGTGCAGATCGTTATATCAGGAGATTTATTTTTCGTGCGACTTCTGGATCAGGATGTCGTAGTGATCAGTTCTCAGCACGTTGCAGAAGCCTTAATGGACAAGCGTGGTCGCATTCACTCTGATCGGCCATATTTAGCCACAGTCGAGCCGTGCGTTCTTCTAAAATTCTTCCATTCAGTCGTTATGGAGTACAGGCAGATTTGGTTGGTCGGTCTTCTTTGTACTCACAGGTTATGGTGACGAATGGCGTCTTTGTCGACGACTCATCCACCAAACTTTCCGTCCCGACTCTGCGCTCAAGTTTCGTCCAATGCAAATCAAGCAGGCTGGTGAAATGATCGTCAATCTAATCGATGACCCTCACCATTACCATTCTCACTTTGCAACGTCAGTCGATGTGTTTGTAAACATCGAATTTTTATTAACCTGTCCATAGGTTCTCGTCATCTGTTGCAATGTCAACGACCTACGGCTACCAAACTAGTCCTCGTGATGATCCTCTGGTTCGAATCGTAGAAAATGCACTGGCTGTTGGCATTGCAGTGGTGACCCCGGAGAGAGCAGCTCTGCTCAAGACTTTCTCCTTTTGTAAGCTCAGCATTCTTTCTCGTGGAAAGAGTTGACATTCTGTACCATCACGCAGTACTGAAGTTACCTGACTGGTGTTGGGGATCCTCAATCAAACGCGATGCTCGAACGTCGGCCGATCGCATGAGACAAATGACTGACGTGCCGTTCCAATATGCGCAGGACCATATGGTGGGCATCTTGTTTAATCTAGTTCGGTCCTAGATGTTGATCATGTGCTCGCTAAGGCCGAAAGTTTGTCCCTCGACCAGGTTTCAATGGTATCAGACAATTTGCAACGAATGGAGAAGATAGATCAGGCATCAAAACCCATGTTCAAGACTGCCTTAAAGAAAGCAGCGACTACTGCTATTATAGGTTGGTCACCTTTCTATAGGGGTACGGTGCTCTTTAATAGATGTCTATGCAGGTTCATATGAGACGGTCAGCAGATGTCCGAGTCATATTGTCTGGTGCTCAACCTCTTGACAGACCACGTCGACCTTGATGGTTTTCTCTCTCGCCATGGTATTGTATCCAGATGTTCAGAAACGCGCACAAGCGGAGATTGACTCAGTCGTTGGGCTGGATCGCTTACCCACCTTTGAGGACAGACCCTCACTGCCATATATCGAATCAGTTTTTCGGGAGACTTTGCGATGGCAGCCTATCGGACCCCTTGGTAACCCCCCTTGCTATGCTATTTTAGCTTTGCTGAAGGTTGATTTGTAGGCGTTGCACATGCCAGTATGAGTGATGATGTATATGATGGTTATTTCATTCCGAAAGGTCTGCTGTTCTTATTCATCGAGTACATCATTTGTAATATCGTACATCAGGAACGACCATCATGTGGAATACATGGTCAGATAGATCCTCTCTAGCTTTCAAAATACTGATGTTATATTGTAGGGGCATTACACGAGATGAAAAGCGGTACCCTGATGCATCTCGTTTTATGCCGGAAAGGTTCCTAGACGTCAATGGCGCGTTAACAGATGATAACCCCGCTGGATATATTTTTGGCTTTGGCCGGCGTGGATGTCCAGGTGGGTTGAGTCATTTCATCACCGTATAGAGCTAATACATTCTTCGATCAGGCCGGTATGCTGCTGATGCCTCTGTATGGTCTGCTATTGTTACTATGTTAGCCACGGTGGAGTTTTCTTCTGCCAAAGATGATCAGGGCAAAGTGATCGAATTCACCCCCCAATTCACGATGGGACTCTTCCGGTACTTGGTTTTTTCTCGTATCATTCCATCTTCCCGTCACTAACAGTTTGATCGCTTTAGCTCCCTAATGGTCTTCCCTTGCAATATCTCATCACGCTCTCGTGCCCATTCGGAACTTGTGAATGTTTTCCGAACAGAAGTATGAAATGTTATCAGGTGAATGGGTTGTATATGTATATTTCCTTTCTTGGGCCCACACCGCCAATCTGTACAACATTTGACAACCCCTTGTTTGACCCTTTTCGTTAGCTCCGTTTTCCGCACGTGGTATGCACGACTTGAAATTTCGAGTCATCCGTCACGCCATTAGCAATTTTGTGCAAAGTACGAGAAATAAGGTCACTAAGAAGAAACGGTACACTTCAACTGGTGCTATAAATAAGCAAACTAACATTGCTCATTTTCAAAATGCTGGTATGGTGATCTCGCTGGTGACCCTAAGTACTCAGTAGTTTCAATTGATATCAATTTTTGTGGAGTCTGTCTGTAAGGTACACAATGCAAATTGCCACATCAGCAAAATCTCAGATCTGCTTATGAGTGTCTGCCTGCATACAGGCTCTATAGTGCTGTATTCACCTCTCACCAAATTTACAGTGCTTGTCCTCTGACCACACTACTACTAGTATGCATCTTGCATGTCAGTCCTGTATTGTTGCATTACCTATAATTCATTTATCTAATATGTTGGTTTTCAGACGCAGTGTCAAGTGTTATCTCACTGTGTCAAGCCTCAACCTCACCGTGTCAAGTTTGATCCACTCTCTATACTCTGCACCACCATGTCAAGCCCCAACCATGGCATGTCAGAAGCTTCGTTTAGGCTGGGTCAAGCACCACTCACACCATGACAAGTTTTTCCAAATATCTTCACAGTCTCTGTACTAATATCAACATCCACACTCTATGCCATGTCAACCATAGCACATACCACATCAGTGCCACATCACATGTGCATCGGTGCTGCATCGAACAAGTCATGCTACATCAATGCTGCATCAAACCTCCTCCATGCCATGTCAGTGCTGCGTCAAACTTCATTCATACTGCGTCACAAGTAGCACATGCCGCATCAGACCTCACCACCTCAACTGTCACACTATCCATATAACTTAGATATATTTTATTTTAGATTTGTCATAATAATTGATATTCTAACAGTGTTCCTTTTATCCTGACAGAATT